AGTAGTAGTAGTAGTAGAAGAAGAAGAAGTAGTCGTAGTAGTAGTAGTAGTAGTAGTAGTAGTAGTAGTAGTAGTAGTAGTAGTAGTAGTAGTAGTAGTAGTAGTGGTCGCAGTCGTTGTAGTCGTAGTGGTGGTGGTGGTGGTGGTAGTAGTAGTAGTAGTAGTAGTAGTAGCAGTCGTCGTAGTCGTCCCGCACACCTTGGCCACGGCGACCTCGTAGACACTGATGTCGATGATGAGGTCGGGCTTGACCTCCCGGAGCCGCTTCACCACCCGCCAGAAGCCGCTCTGCAGCAGCCAGTCGCAGAGCCCCCCTGTTAGATGCAACTCGCAGTGGCACCGATGCCACAACCCCCTCACCCCACCCCACGCCCAACCCCCTGTGCGAGGGTTGGCCGTGGTGAGGGCGGGGGGTCGGGGCATCGGCGCCAGCGCGGTTCATCTCCTCGGACCCGTCTTCTTGGCGCCCGCCGCGTTCCAGCCGCAGAGGACGCGGCCGTCGGGGGTGGCCTCCACCTTGCAGTATCGTTTAACCTATCCCTATCCCCATCCCCGTCCACATCTCGAGCCCCACCGTCTCACCACCGCAGTTGGGGATATGCCCTTCGAGACCCGAAGAGAGCAGCCAACATCCCCATCCAGGAGGGGTAACTCTGCTCTCTTCGGGTTTCGAGGTTCATATCCCCGACTGGGATGGTGAGTCGGTGGTGCTCGAGCTGTGGATGGGGATGTTGATGGGGGTCGGTTTAACAATGCTCAGCCTTGGCCAGGCGGAGGGCGTCCGCCACCCCCGCGGCGTCGACCATGGCTGTCGGGGCGGCGGCGCGGAAGCCAGGGCGGCGACGCGGAAGCCAGGGCCGAATGCAGCAACAACGGACGGAGGGGTGCACAAAGCTCACATTGGGGCACGAACCATGCGAGGGGTATGCCACTGTGGTTGGGCCCTCCGTTACTTGGGGCCATCGGTGGAGCTCCCTACGTGGGGACACGGAACGCTCGCGCCCCTCTTTCTTTTGGTGCTTTCTCTTTTTCCTCGTCATCCTCCGCTTCCATCCTTTTCCTCCTCGTCCCCCTCTTGCTTCTCCTCCTCCTCCTCCTCCTCGTCCTCCTCCTCTTCCCTCCTCCTCCTTCTCCTCCTCCTCCTCCTCCTCTTCCTCCTCCTTCTCCTCCTCCTCCTCCTCCTCCTCCTCCTCCTCTCTCTCCCCATATGCATGTTCCATCTTTCTATTTATCCACCACTCTCGCTATATATACACGTTATTGTATACACATATGTAAGATCAAACACTGACATGTAACAAACATATATATATTATATATATATATATATAATATATATATATATATATATATGTATATATATGTATATGTATTATATATATATATATATGTATATATATATTCAACTATGTGTATACATGCGTACATGCACATTCATAGCTACTACATGTGTGCGTGCACCGTTTTCGCTTGTTCTATACATGTGTACATGTTTAGTATGTGTCTCGCCTTCTCTCTTTCTGTGCATCAGGCATGGCGCACCATGCATCTATAACGCGGGCAGAGCATATACGAACTGCTGACAATGATATGCGCGTGCTATGCAATGCGTTGGTGTGCACATCACATCGCTATCAGCATCACCTTCCTTACCACCACCAGCATCGCCGTTATCGCTATCGTGATCGTCGTCGTCATCATCATCATCATCATCATCATCATCATCATCACCATCATCATCATCGTCGTTTTCGTCGTCGTAACCATCATCATGTACATCATCGTCACCATCATCATCATCTGCAATTAATTACAATTCACAAACAATACAAAGACACAACAAAGACATCCACAGACACGCAAGACATCTACAGACATCCGCAGACATCGATATATACCCACAAATGAGAGAAGTGACCTTCCTTCCGGAAGGTGCGGAAGGTGGAGGGCGAGGGAACCTATCAGTCTTCGCTGTTAGGTAAAAAATCCAAAAAGGTCAATAAATAGTCCCCAGACTATTTTCGGACTATGTTTAGGGTATTTCTTATTTTTCGTCGAAAATCCCCCTGTAGGGGGACACGCCCGACTTAATCCTAGCCCCGCCAGCCGAGGCGACCCTCGGCAGGGCGGCTCCCGTGGACGTCCACCCGCGCTGAGCTCCTGGCTCAACGCAGGACGGAGGCCAGCCCCCGCCGGCCGAGGCGACCCTCGGCGGGGCGTCCCCGAGACCGCGGTGCCTCCCGCGGGGAAACCAAAAGGCACCGATGCCGCTACAGTCGGACCGAGGCCAGAAGAACACCCTTCAAGAACATGAGACCCTCCGCCGTCCAAAACAATTTTGATTCGCGGGTCGAGAGCGCACCTCTTCCGGTCGAAGCTAAGCGGGCCGCGCGAAGCTTGAATTAAACATGGAGGAGGAGGAAAGGGGGAGGGCGCAGCCTCAGAGCGAGGCTGGGAGGAGGCAAAGCCTCGGGATCAGGCGGTGCCGAAGTCGACGCACTTGCAAAGGTGCGCCTTTCCCAGGAACCACCGCCGGCCAAAACACACGGAGCATCCAAGGGCACCCTCCCCTGGATGCACAAGAGCATCCAACAGACACGACGAGGACATCCGGGCACCCTCCTGTGAGGGTCCCGGGGCCCGACACCCGGCGAACGCGCCCGTTGAGGACCACAACTGCAACGCCAGGATCCCGGGGCCCCCACTGCGCCCCGAACCTCGAAGCTTGACCCGGCCTGCGCTCCACCACTGCTGCGCGCGCGGTGGGCGCCCCCGGCCCTCGCCCCGGGCTCACACCAGGTCCGACAGCGGGTCCGACAGCTCTGGGGCGCCGCCGGCACCTCCGCGAAGGCGAGGAGGAGGAGGAGGAGACGAGGAGGAGGAGGAGGAGGAGAAGAAGAAGAAGAAGGAGGAGGAGAAGAAGGAGGAGAAGGAGGAGGAAGGAGGAGGATGCGGACCACGACGACGACGACGACGACGACGACGACGACGACGACGACGTCGACGACGACGACGACGAAGACGACGACGAGGACGAGGACGAGGACGAGGACGAGCCGCAGCGGCGCCCTCCCGCCCAGCCCACGGCCGCTGAACGTCGGTCCCCGGGCCCTGTCTAGAGTCTGCCCCTTCTAAGTCCTCCTCCCCCTCCCCCTTCCCCTGCTCCTCCTCCTCCTCCTCCTCCTCCTCCTCCGCATCCGCCTCCTCCTCCTCCTCCTCTCCTTCCTCCTCCTCCTCCTCCTCCTCCCCTCCTCCGCCTCCTCCTCCTCCCTCCTCCTCCTCCTCCTCTCCTCCCTCCTCCTCTCCTCCTCCTCCCCATCCCCCGCTCTCCTCCGCCTCCTCCGCCTCCTCCTCCTCCTCCGCCTCCTCCTCCTCCTCCTCCTCCTCCTCCTCCTCCACCTCCTCCTCCTCCCCATCCTCCGCCTCCTCCGCCTCCTCCGCCTCCTCCGCCTCCTCTGCCGCCTCCGCCTCCGCCTCCTCCTCCTCCTCCTCCTCCTCCTCCTCTCCTCCTCCTCCCCCCCCTCCCCTCCTCCGCCTCCGCCGCCCCTCCGCCTCCTCCTCTCCTCCTCCTCCTCCTCCTCCTCCTCCTCTCCTCCTCCTCCTCCTCCTCCTCCCCCCCCTCCGCCTCCTCCTCCCTCCTCCTCCTCCTCTCCTCCTCCTCCGCCTCCTCCTCCTCTTCCTCCTCCTCCTCCGCCTCCTCCACCTCCTCCACCCCCCCCCGCCTCCTCCTCCTCCTCCTCCTCCTCCTCCTCCTCCTCATCCCCCCCGAACAAAAAAAACGAGGGGTGCCGCTGTCTCTCGACTGCCCCTCCCAGAAAGGAAAGCGAAGGACGCCAGGAAAGGGTTCCGCTGCCTCGACTTGCCCTCCTCCGAGAAGAGCGGGCCCAGACGGGCGATGTCCTGATTGTTTCCATACAGTAGGAGCTCGACCACAAGAAACCTTCCACAAAGTGAGCGCTTTTTTTCTTATGCGAGGGGGGGGGGGCCTGGCTCCGGACCTCTGCCTAATGCGACTGTTTCGAACCGTGCGTCCTCTGTTTTTATTCTGCGAGGGGGGGGGGGCCTGGCTCCGGACCTCTGCCTAGTGCGACTGTTTCGAACCGTGCATCCTCTGGGGGAGACTCCGCCCGCTCGAAACAGGCGCCAAAAACAGCCAAAATCTACTATGAGGGGGAGGGGGGGGTGCGAGGGCCCGCGCCGATCGGCAAACAATGAATGAAAAACGATCACCAGCAGGAGCTCGACCACGAGAAGCCTTCCACGAGAAACCTAACCCCGAGACCCCAGGACGTCCATCGGTTTTTGGTGTGGGAGCGTCGCTCTTTCCATAGCAAGACCATCGAAACCGAAGAGACCCAGGGCACCCCGGAGGCAAGCAACGTGTTTCGTGGCATGGGCCTTCCCCTGGCCGGCCCAGGTTTTCACTCCAACTGGCTCTTCGACGGCGCTGAAGCCCGGCGAGGGTCCCCGGAGGCCGACGACGGCGGAACACCTCCGGCCCTGATCTCTGCTCCGACGCCGCCGTCGTCGCTGCCGCCGTCGTCCTCGTCGGCGGCGTCGTCGCTGCCGCCGTTGTCTCGAGGGCGCCGAACTTCACGCTTCGCTCTGCGCGAGGCGCTGCACGCTTTCGCGCCGCCCCCCCGCGGGAGACGAGGAGGGCGAGGAGGAAACCGGAGCCAAGACCGCGAGGCCGCGAGCGACTCCGCGCCCGCGCGCCGCCCCCCCGGGGAGAAGAGGAGGTCGAGGGGGAATCGAAGCCGAACTGCGACGCCGCGCCCCCGAGGGCGCCCTTGTTTCGACCAGGGGACCGGCTGCAGCACTGCTTGAATTGCCCCGGAGTGGATTTCTCCCGCCGGGCCTGCGGGAAAGACGTAGGATGCTCCGCAGATCGAGGGCACATTCTACATTTTGTGTGTGTGGTTGTTGATACATATATATATATATATATGCATACATATGTGTTCATATACATGCGTATATATATACATGTATACATATATATATATATATATTGTAAAAAGACTGACGAGTAAAATTATATATGAACAAAAAAACGTTATTTGGTTCAAGATTCGACGAAGAACAACAAAAACACCTGTGGCCGATCCCCTGCTCGATGGCTGCCTTGACCGGCCCTCCCCTGGGAGTGGGGCCCTGGGCCGGGAGGGGCCTCCTCAGGGGAGGCCGCGGCGCCCGGGGGCCGCGGGGGGGGGGTCGTCAGCTCCAGAGCGCGCAGGCCCCTGCTTCGGGGAACAGGCAGTGGCATAGACATAACACATCAGCAGAAGCATGGCGCAGCAAACAGCACCATGACATACAGCAGCATGGCACACAAACGAAGGGGCCCTGGGACACACAAATAAATAGACACACATAACAGGAGTCCCAGTACCTTCCCATATGTTTCCAACTTTTCTGGGGAATCGACGATTAATTGTGTCTGTGTTTTTTGTTTCCCTCCTGAACTTAACAGCAACAGTCAGCACCATACCATGCACACACACACACACAAAAACTCGGAGCTCCCAACGATGCCCACGAGTCCCCAGACAGTGCCCAAGAGACCCACGACGCCCAGAACGAGGACTCCCCGCCTACTTCCGGGGGCCGGCGGGATGGCGCACAACCAAAACACGGAGGTCCGCGC